TTTTTATTTGTTCTTATTTTATTACTGACTTTTTACTTGTGTTTTTTTATGAAAATAAAACTTTGCGTTGAAGAAAAGTAAATTTTTGTTTGTATATGCTGTCAATTATAGTTCTTAGAAAGAAAATCGGAATCGGCAAAAATCGGTATCGGCAGATCACACTAACAAAACATCGGAAATCGGAATCGGTCAAGAAAATTGCAATTGGTGCATCTCTACAGATTTTGCAAAACATAAGATCAAATTGTCTATTTTTTTCGGAGTTAAAACTTTGACAGATTTTTGTTTGACAAAAAGATTTGACAAAAATTTGAAAAAAGTTCGTTAAAATTAGCTTATTATATTTTTGTTTTTTATTATGTTATGTTGTTATTTTAGTCAGAGTAAAAAAGCTTAATGTTTAAGAACATAAACTTAATGAGATTTGGATATAAGGTATTAAAATATTAGGCTAGATTTCTTGTTGAAGGTAAACAGTGTTTTATATTTAATGTGGTAATATAATATATAAACAATTTTCACTCTGAAATTTCACAAAGAATTACAAAGAAATGGCAAGTAACACATTGAATTAAACTGAAATAGTACTCTATTGTAAAACATGCTTCAATCATCTTTGTTTGTTTACAACTTTGAAAAATAAATTTTACATTACAAGTTATTCTTTAGCAAATCTCAAAATAACAACCAGTTTAATGCTGTAGACATTACTGTTGTGATATCTAAATTTACTTGTAACATTAAAATGACTGATTTTAGTTTTTATTGTTTTATTTTCCATTTATTTAGACAAAATATAATTTTAATATCAGCCATTTATCGGTGGTAACATGAAAATAATGATTGATTTTTATTGTATTGACTGTAATTTTATCATTTAATTAATTTTGTTTCATTTAATTGGTCAATAATTTGAATATGATTACAGAAGACAACCAAATGTTGCTGGTGTGGAACATAGGAGAGGGCAGGCAAGGGAAGGAGACAAACAGAATGAAAGAGAAAAAAATGAGAGCGAGCGTATGTACGATTAAGGCATCTCAGATCCCAAAGGTCTGCTCCTGTTCTTTTGGTTACCATGGCAACATGTACCCCAGTTCTCCCCAAAACGCGGTGTGAGTTGCGAGACATGTGAGATAGGAAGAGACGTGTTTGTAAGGAGGTGCTAAGATGTGCTGGGGCCATTGGTTGTGAAAAGTGCTAATTGCCTCTCTTTCATAGGAAGTAGCGAGGTCTGTGACAGTGTCCAGTCCCTGCAGACACATGCCTTCCTACACACATTAACTAAACTTCACCTCTTGGTCCATTTCCACCTCCCCAAACCCGTCTGATCAGTTGCTTACTCTGCTCCCAAGACAGGGCAACATTCGAGTTGCCTGTTTGTTTTTCTCTCATCAAATGAAACCTTGCACTCTTTAGTCCCACTGAAAGACAGTTTATGTTATCTAGAAAGATAAAGCATTTCTGTTAATCAACTGACTAGTGTGTGTAGATTTTTTTTTACTGTATATTAAATATATATATATATTTTATATTAAATATATATATATATATATATATATAAAAATTTCAGAGTACCTTAATATTTCTTAAATTCATTAAATTCA